CGCGCCTCGCCGCCCTTAGTACACCGCGGGTGATCGCGATGCGCGGCGCTTCATAGAGTCACACCCGCGCTCTCCCTAAGACTCACCCAGCCAGCAGTAGAAATACGCTCACGCGAGGCCGCCAGGAGGCACTGCAACTATTACTGCAAGTATAACAGCAACTACTACTACTGTAACGCATGGCCTCTGCACAATACGTGGGCCTAGAAACAACCGTCCCAACTACCTTCCACAAATTGGATACCTATGCTAGGTAGCGCGAGATGGGAAGGAAGGGTTGGGAGGGGAGGATTGGGATTGGTCGATACTTGGGACCAATCAGATTTTAGTTGTACAATTTGAGTTGGCGAAATTCCCAACACACGCGATGGTTGGATTTGCGACCAATCAGAATCAGGGAGTTGGTTGGCAACGCCAACTCAACTTGAATATTCGTATGCTGTACACTTTATGCTAATCTGAATACATTGTTGTAAACTTCTCATTGGTTGGAAATCCAACCCTTTGTCACATAAGCTAGCTCACCTCCTTGGAAACATGGAGGAGGTTCAGTAGCTGCTGGGAGTCATTGGAAGGGGTCTGGGCTGAGAAGCTCATTCTCAACTTCCCACTCCAAGAAATCAATCTTGGAATGGGATTTTTCTCTAAGTCATGAGCTCTCCTCGCAAGCCTTCCTACACTAGTAGCTTTTATTGTAATCTCCTAGGGGAAACCCTACCCAAGCAGAGCCTCAAGTACTATTCTCCAAGAGCTTTCCTCAAGCTTAAGCTACTTCTTAGAGGGGGTTCTTCCTAAGTACAACGCTAGGAGATTGCTAGTTGGCTTTGTACTTCATTATTATATCCTAGGATCTTGGATGCTGGTTTTGACTTCAACCCTTGTTTGCCCATGCTATAAGGGCAAGGGCTATTACATTGGTATTCAGAGCAAGGTTAATCTTAAGCCTTGTGGGATTTTTTCTTGATTTTCTTTTAGAGGGGTGATTGGACTTCAATCCAAGACATGGGAGTGAAGATTTCAAGACATCTTAAGCTTCTCCAAGTCATTTGAAGAGCTTCTTCAAGTTCTTCACCAACTCTTATATTCTCAAGACCATTTTTCACTACAACCTCGTCTCCTACCTCCACCATTCAAGATTTGAAGAGAGATAATTTTCCCTCTTGCCCACATTGTTGGTGGAAGACTCCCTTGTGGAGTGTGGTTCAGATCTGCAATCTGTTGCAAGATCTCGTTTAGATCTTGCCCTAGCATTGAGGTGCTAGTGATTGGGCAACAGATTGCCTTTCATGTAATTTCTCATATTAAGTTATTCTCCTAAGAGATCTCTTTATTGAGATTGTCTTGCCCTCTCACTACGCTGATTGGGACTTGAACATATTTCTTGAGAGATCTTAAAGAACATCTCAGATCTGTTGAAACCTCTTCCTTGTTTTACCATGATTTCAAGTCAAAGTTTGGAGAACTTGGAGAGGGAGGAGCTTAATGTGACTCTTGAGGGAGCCAACCTTGCTGCTAGTAATAACTAACAGCAAGATGAGGCTATGGCTGATATTGAATTGGTGGACCTAAATTTGGAGAATGAGGGCAATGAAGAGCATGGAGAAGCAGAGGGGATCGATGGAGCAGAGGGGGAGGATGATGGCATCGAGGCATGGTCACTTTCCGATGATGTGGCTAAACTCCAAGCACAAGTCTCCAAGCAGCAGCTTACAATCAATTAGCAGAAGGGACACATCAACTCCCTCAATATTGCTTTGGCGACACAAAAGGCCGACACCACTAGGCTGCAAGCCGATATCAATATGGCATATGGAGAGGTACGGGATCACAAGCGTCTGCTACATAACAAGGGCAATCAAATCCTAGCTCTGTAAAAAACGTGCGACCAGCTGCAAGCTGCTATTACCCAACTGCAGACTACAACTGCCCAGCTGCAATCTACCATCGCCCCGATGCAACATGCTATTGCCCACATGCAAAACCAGTACAGGGATATTCTGAGGGGTCCTATCTATCAGCACTCACCTGCTAGTGCTGGCCCATTGGGCACCCAATCCAATCCGCCTCCTATTGCATCTCCTTCAACTGCAGCACCTCAGCAGCCTGTCCAGCCTATGGCAACGCCTTTTGGCTCGCTCCCCACTGCGCTCCCAAAATTCATCCATGGCAAGATGGATGTTGAGAACTGGGTGACAACTGTGGATGAAATGCTGACTCTCCACAATGTGCGCATCAACGCTCGTGTCACCGCCGTCTCAGATGCGTTGGATAAGCATGCTAGCCAAACAATGTTTGCTAGGCGGAAGCAGATCGAAGCAAGTGGAAAGCTTTTCACTTGGGACGAGTTCTGTGCAGCAATGAAAGTGGCTTTCCTTGTCAAGACAACTGACTTGGAGGTGCGTCGCTGCCTTGAAAACATCAAGTGTGGCGATCGCTCAGTGCAGAAATATGCACAAGAGTTTGAGGGCATTCTGCGATTGCTGGGCAAGAAGCTGTCGGAGAATGAAGTTATGTACAGTGACGGAAACAACTGTACGGATGTTTTGTGGTGGTATGTTTTGGGAGGGGCATATAGTGGATGTATTTACAGCACTAAACTCCATAATACTACATTGGATCTAACATAGTGCTAAAAGATACACAAAGAGTACATCCAGACAATTGTTTCCCAGAACAAAGAGCAAACTTATAAACAACGTTTCTAATACCTTGTCCACGGACTCTTGTCCTTGATCACCACCCGCACCCTCCTAGGCATGTTATCTACAAGGTTAGTGCAAACTTTTGTAGGGTTCTTCTCACACTCGTCCTAGACCCACCCTTTTGCATAAGGGGGGTGAGCACTAAGAAAATTGCGAAGGAGTTAAGCGTGCGCAAGAGTATTGTGCATGATTTCTTATTGAATGTTATCTCTGAGACTAGCCATGCAAAAAAGGGTTGAGACTGAGACTGGTGAGAAAAAGGGTCACTCCAACGCAACATACTCATGCTCTCCAAGCCATTCCAAGCCATTTGTCTCGCCTAGGCTAGGAATGACTTGGAGAGCATGAGTATGTAGCAATGGAGTGACCCTCCTTCTCACAAGATCTCAACTCAGATATTCTTCCCCACCAGTCGGGGCTTCTTCGACTGCTGCACCGTGACGAGACCCGTGGATTTTAACACGATTCTAATAGTGAAAGGGTGCATAGTCGACCGTGCTATGTTACCCAAAATTTTGTACCCCTGGCCCTTCCACCAGAATGGTAACCAGCAGCGCCCTCCGGCTAAGAGGGCGAATGGTGGCGGTTACAAAGGGCCGCCAAGGGACTTCTCTAATGTCGTCTGCCGAGGGTGTGGCCGCCATGGTCACATGGAATTTCAATGCCGCTATAAGAATGTCATTAAGCATAGTGGCAAGCCTAAGGGCAACAACAATGGCGGCGAAGGACCTTCTGGCAGTAAGAAGGATTTTCAGAAGTCCAACTAGGGTGTGGGTACCTAGTTGGTCAGGTAGATCGAGGGGATGAGGCATATGCTTTATGTGACGATGATTTACTAAAGCTAGAGAAGCTTGCTGAATGTGAAATATCTTGTTTGTTTGCCTCCTCTTTTAATAAAAAATCAATGTTTGCACCTCGATCGTACCCACTTGATGCTATATCCATCGAAGCGTTACGAGATAAATTCTCAGTCGTTTACTGTGGCCTGGACACATTGCCTTCTGTACTCGATGTTGTGAGTCATTGTACTCAAGAGCACCCCCTGACTGCGGTCGCCGTGGTGACTCGTACAGTAATGGGCGAAACGTTCAAATCGCTTCGTAAATGGGTTGTGCTGGCGTCTTGGGACAAGGGAAACCACGTGTGGTGGACCAAATCTGAATCCTTTGGACGAGCCCGCCACAATGTCAAGGTGTACTACAAATCCTTGTCGAACATTGTGGCATGCCCCATCCGCCCAATGCATCAACAAAATCTACTCCTTTTGGGTCACGTTAACGGACATAGCGCGAAAATTCTTGTCGATACAGGTGCCACTGTTTCTCTCTTTGATGAAAAGTGGGTCACACTGCATGGGGTCCTCATTGAAGGACCATCATGTCCCATTCGTCTTGGTGACGATAGTCTTATCCCAAGCAAAGGACGGACAATGATCGACATGGAAATCCAAGGCTATAGCGAAAAGATTCGCAATTACGTTCTCCCCTTGCTTTCGGGTTTCGATGTAGTCTTGGGAATGGATTGGTTACGTGCAAATGAGGTTATTCTGGATTTCCAGGATAATACAGTTTCTTTCACCAAGAATGGTGAACCAATCTAGTGGCAGGTGTCTGTCGACACAACCATCCCGGCGGTTCAAATTACGGAAAGTCCAGATGTGTGCTTTGCTCTTACATGTCAATTCGGACAGCATTACCGCATTGCTAACACACTTTTCGTCGTACAGCTCAAGGAAGATGGAACCCCGATGCCAGACATTGAGGATTTTCCACCTCAGATGAAGGTACTGGTGGATGAGTTTAAGGAGGTTTTTGAGTATATTCTAGACGGACTCCCTCTTGACCGCGCCGTGGGCCACACCATCCCTATGGAGCCTGGAAAGCTCCCACCGTTTTGACCTCTGTATCGCCTCAGTCCAGCTGAGTACGAGGAGGCTAAACAACAGATTGAGGAGTACCTCAGGAAGGGATGGATTGAGCCAAGCGCATCACCTTATGGAGCACCAATCTTGTTCGTTAACAAGAAGGGTGGTGGCTTACGCATGTGCTTCGACTACCGCGCCTTGAACAAGATCACAATCAAGAACAGATACCCTCTTCCAAGGATAGAAGATCTGTTTGATCGACTCCAGGGTGCTCAGTGGTTTAGCGCGCTGGATCTGACACAGGGGTACCACCAACTACGCATCACTGAGGAAGATGTTCCCTAGACGGCATTCCATTAGACGTTTGGCCATTCTTTCTGGTTTACCTCCACAACATCTTGTTTTATTCCAAGACTGAAGAGGAGCACACTCAACACCTAAAATGGGTGTTAGGGAAGTTGCGAGAACACAAGTTCTATGGAAATGCCATTTCTACAAATGCGAGCTGGAATATCTCGGTCATCTTTTCAGGAACAACAGACTTAAAGTCGACCCCAAAAAGGTGGTGGGTGTTCAGAATTGGCCTGTCCCACAGGACGTGGGCCAGGTCAGGTCCTTCCTAGGCCTGGCCAATTATTTCCGTCGGTTCTTGGAAAACTACTCGACTGTCGTTGCCCCTCTGACAGCACTCACTCGAAAGGGTAATGCGTGGGAGTGGACTCGACAATGTCAAGAGGCATTTGACGAAGTCAAAACGAAGCTGACCAATGCTCCGGTTTTGGTATTGCCAGATCCTTCTAAACCCTACGAGGTGGTCACAGTCGCCTCGATAGTAGGGATTGGGGCGGTACTCTTGCAGGAGGGCCGTCCAGTGGCATTTGAGAGTAGGAAGCTCTCCCCGGTAGAGGAGTGTTATACGACATCAGAACAAGAATTGCTAGCGGTCGTACATGCGCTGCGAACATGGCGATGTTATCTGGAAGGTGTGGAGTTTGTGGTCACGATAGACCACTGTCCGAACACCTATTTCTCTACTCAAGCCACGCCCACTCGGCACCAACCCCGCTGGGCAGAACTCCTTAGTGGGTTCACATTCGATATTCGATATCGTACAGGTTCTACGAACATGGCTGACCCCCTCAGCAGACAGCCGATAGGGGCAGCGACTGGGCTTGATGAAACCGAGGATAAGGCGGTAGTTGCTGCTTGTTTCGGTATTCTTGACGTGGCTCAAGTGAGTGAAGTCACCTTCAGTGGTTTTCTGAAACGCATCCGCATAGGATACCATATTGACTCCTGGTTCCATAACCCACAAAATACGAAGGGCCTCAAGTACGAGCATGAGCTCTGGTGGCGAGAGAAAGAGATTGTGGTACCCCACGTGGGTAGCCTGCGGAATGATATAATTGAGGAAGTGCATAGCACCAAGTATGGGGGACACCTAGGTATCAAGAAAACCCGGTGGGCCAAAGTGATGTGTACTGGTGGCCTGGATTAGGGACTGAGGTCCAACAATTTGTGTCGCATTGTGATGCATGCGCACACAACAAGTCAGACACGAAAAAGCCCGGTGGTTTGCTTCAACCACTTGAGATTCCAGACGAACCCTGGGAGAGTGTCTCACTGGATTTCATCACATACCTCCCAAAAACACGCGATGGTCATACTGCGATCCTGGTCTTTGTGGATCGATTGACCAAAATGGTGCACTTCGTTGCTACTACAATAGATGTATCTGCGGAAGATACGGTCAAGTTGTTTATAGCACACGTTTTCCACTTACACGGGTTACCACGTGTGCTGGTGTCCGATCGAGATCCGCGCTTTACAAGCCGATTCTGGCACGAAGTTACACGGACACTCGGAACGAAGCTAAAGATGTCGTCAGCCTTCCATCCCCAGACGGATCGGCAGACAGAGCGGACGAATTGTACTCTTGAGCAGATGCTTCGTTCCTTCATTGGCCCAACTCATGATGATTGGGGAGACTTATTACCTGTGGCTGAGTTCGCAGTGAACAATTCTGTCCATGAAGGTACCCATGAAAAAACCCTTCATTCTGAACTGTGGTCGGCATTCCACGACACCTGCAACGCATGGGATAGGCGGACTGCGAGTCCCTGCTGCGAAAGTCATTGTGGGCAAGCAGCAAGAAGCGCTCAAGTCTGCTCGCCGCTGGCTGCAGCTGGCTCAGCAGCGACAAAAGTCTTATGCCGACATGAAACACCGGGAAGTCTCTTTTGAGGTTGGAGAAAATGTATTATTGAGCATGAAGAACATTCGTCTCAAAATCCTTGGGGCACGAAAGCTGTTCCCTCGATGGATTGGGCCGTTCGAGGTGATCCAGCGCGTTGGTGTGGTCGCTTACAAGTTGAAGTTACCCGATACATTGCAGATTCACAATGTCTTCTACGTGTCTCTGCTCAATAAGTACGTTGCTGAAGGCAAGCACTTCCCTCCGCCAACGATCGTCCTTGGAGAGGAACTCTTTTATGAGGTTGAGCGTGTGCTCATGCACCGTGATCGACAGCGCAGCCGCAAGACAGTTCGCGAGTTCCTTATTAAGTGGAAAGGCTATGGGCCTGAACACAACTCATGGGAGCCAGAGGAACATTTGACCGAAACTGGGGTTCATGGATATCTAGAAGACCTAGCTCAAAGAGCAGCCTCACAACCAGTGGATGGTGTTCACCCTGGTCGTAATGTGATTCGGCGCGCTCAAAGCACCTGTCCCCAAAAGCACTCTATGGCATCGAGGACGTTGCCACCTGGAGGGGGAGGAGTGTAACGCATGGCCTCTGCACAGTACGCGGGCCTAGAAATAACCGTCCCAACTACGTTCCACAAATTGGCTACCTATGTTAGGTAGCGCGAGATGGGAAGGAAGGGTTGGGAGGGGAGGATTGGGATTGGTCGATACTTGGGACCAATCAGATTTTAGTTGTACAATTTGATTTGGCGAAATTCCCAACACACGCGATGGTTGGATTTGCGACCAATCGGAATCAGGGAGTTTGTTGGCAACGCCAACTCAGCTTGAATATTCGTATGCTGTACACTATATGCTAATCTGAATACATTGTTGTAAACTTCTCATTGGTTGGAAATCCAACCCTTTGCCATATAAGCTAGCTCACCTCCTTCGAAACATGGAGGAGGTTCAGCAGCTGCTGGGAGTCATTGGAAGGGGTCTGGGCTGAGAAGCTCATTCTCAACTTCCCACCAAGAAATCAATCTTGAAATGTGATTTTTCTTTAAGACATGAGCTCTTCTCACAAGCCTTCCTACACTAGTAGCTTCTAGTGTAATCTGATAGGGGAAACTCTACCCAAACAGAGCCTCAAGTACTATTCTCCAAGAGCTTTCCTCAAGCTTAAGCTACTTCTTAGAGGGGGTTCTTCCTAAGTACAACGCTAGGAGATCGCTAGTTGGCTTTGTACTTCATTATTATATCCTAGGATCTTGGATGTTGGTTTTGACTTCAACCCTTGTTTGCCCATGCAATAAGGGCAAGGGTTATTACAACTATTGCCACCAGCGATGGCTCGGCTCTTCCCCTTCTCCACTGCTCTCGCTACCGCGGCGGTGCTCGCCGCGTTCGTCCTCCTGCTCTCGTCACCTGTTGTAACGCCTGCCGCAGCAGCCGCTGGCGCGGACCTTCGAGTGGTCACTAGATCTACTGGTACTGCTACTGGTACTATTACTATTATTCCGTTAGAGGACTCCTTGGGTGATTTGGAGGCCTCCGAATCCGAGTCTCCTCTGTCTGCTGCGCCGCGGCGCTCCCTCAGCCGCCGCCACTCAGCGCCGCCGCCAGGGTTCCCATTGCCGCGCCTCCCCCTCTCTGCTTCTGCCGGTAGCGGAAGCTCTGCTGGCAGCGCGCTGAGCCCGCCGCGATGGTTGCTGGGGTTTTTCAAGTCGGTGGCGAAGTTCTTCCAGAAGATCCTGCCGCAGAAGCCGCCACATGTGGAGGCCGTGCCATTCGGCCTGCCTTGCGGTGCTGCTGGGTGCGTTCGCGTTTGAAGCGTACTCGACTCCCGATGTAAGCATACCTCAGCTCACGCACCCATTGGATGAAAGAAGAAGAAAACAAATCCGCTAATTGTGGGAGTCGAAAAACCAATGAATGACATCATGGTGGCTCGAGATCACTGCTCAGAGTGGGAGGGATATGGGGGATGGGGGTGGGGATGAGAAAACCCGAAAACATAGGAGTCTATTCTTGAGGCACCTAAACATATGCTCTTTTTTACTCCCCAATGCTTCCCCCCTTATCCCCGCATTTCTCTCTAGGGAGCCGGCAAGGGATTCAACTTGGGCGGCTAGTGCAATGCTCTTCCCTCTATTACTAGGTGTGTGGTAGTGAGAGGTGTGATAGTGAGTGGTAGGTGTGGTAGTGAGAGGTGTGAGTGAGTGGTAGGTGTGGTAGTGAGAGGTGTGATAGTGAGTGGTAGATGTGGTAGTGAGGTGTGAGAGTGAGAGGTGGGTGTGTGTGTTAGGGGGAATGTATTATTTTCTCCACTATTCAAGAACAGCATTTATCATCTAACCATCAGCATTATTTATTTCAAATAGCCAGCATTATTCCTCGCCCCCTAACCAACACTATCTCTTCCCACAGCTTTCTCTGACGAGCCTCTCTCCTTATCTCTCTCCCACCCACCCTCTTTGCTCCCCCCAATTTCCACCTCCGAGCTCCTTCCCCTTCTCCAAACGATCCTCATCGTACCGCTTCCCACCGCTTCTCACCTCGGCCCTACACAGTACACTCCCTCTTCGTCCCTTTGCCCCCTCCCTCTCCCTCTCTGCCCCTCCATTCCCAGTGTTCCCTCTCCCTCTCCCCTTCCCAGTCTCCAAACGATCCTTGACACACCACTTCCCACCTCAGCCTTACCCGCCCTCTCCCTCTCTTTGCCCCCTTCCTCTCCCTCTCCGCCCCTTCGTTTCCAGCTCCGAGCTACTTCCCCTAATCCAAACGATCCTCGACTCGCTGCTTCCCGGCTTGGCCTTCTCACCCCAAGCCAATGCCAACAAGAAAGACACCAAGGCAGAGGCCAAGGCAGCAGTGTACGGTCTCTCTCTCTCGGAACAACGGGCAGTTGAAAATCTCTCCGCTAAAGGAGCTGGCGCTGGCACGCGGCGCGCCGCCTGGGAAACCTTCGTCCGGACAACTGCGGGCGGGCAGGGGGAGTTTTCAATGGCGGCGTTTGAGGGGTTGTGCTTCCTGAGCAGCAGAATCATGGACACGCATGCGAGCATGTGGAAGGACGCAGGGAGGAGGCGCGTGGTGGTGGCGTTCTGAGGGACGGAGATGCAGGAGCCCCAGGATCTGCTGACTGATGCGAATATGGCCCAGAGGGGGTGAGTGCCCTTCCCCTATCAACCCTTCCTTTTGAGGCGCCTTTTAAATTCGTTCCGTGGGATGGAGATGCAAGGGCCCCAGGATCTGCTGACTGATGCGAATATGGCCCAGAGGAAGTGAGCACCCTTCTGCCATAATCCTTCTAAACCGCGTGAAACCCCTTTCAGCCGACTCTAAACCACTTGAAATGAGCTGATTATTGAGTCGAATAAAGATCCTCCCTGATTGCTGTTAACCTCTGATGTGCATCAAAGGGCGAGCGCCCTGCTACAACCCTCCTTCTGTCCTATGCTCCCTGCTTTTGCTCCCTTCTTTTGCTCCTTGATTTTCTCCCTGCTTTCCTCCCTGCTTTTTCTCCCTGCTTTTCTCCCTGCCTTTCTCACGCTCCTCTCTCTCTGTCCCCTCTCCCCCCCCCGCCCTTCCCCCCTTCTTCTCCTCCCCTGCCCGCTTTCACAGCTTCATCACACCTGGAATCCAGGTGAGATGGTGAGATGGGTATCACGGTGAGATGATGGGATGGGTATCATGGTGGGATGATGGGATGGGTATCCAGATGGGATGGTGGGTAGGATGGGTAGCAAACTGGATGCACCAACCGTGCTGCCCATGTTGGTGCATCTACTCTCGTTGTTTCTTTTCCCCTTTCTCATGTGCGTGACCGCTTCTTATGGATGGCTACATGTCCGTCAAGCCCCCCCCCCCCCCCCTCCCACTTCTCCCCCTCCTCCCCACCCTCCTTTTCCTCTGCTGAATGCATACTGTATTTCGACTCCCGCTTTGCTTTCCCCCTTTCCTTCTCCTCTTCTCCCTCCCCTTCTCTCTCCCCTTCTCTCTCCCTCTCTCTCCCCTTCTCTCTCCCCTTCTCTCTCCCCTTCTCTCTCCTCTTCTCTCTCCCCTTCCCTCTCCCCTTCCCTCTCCCCTTCTCTCTCCCCTTCCCTCTCCCCTTCTCTCTCCCCTTCTCTCTCCCCTCCTCTCTCCCCTTCTCTCTCCCCTTCTCTCTCCCCTTCTCTCTCCCCTTCAGGTGCACAGCGGGTTCTTGGATGCCTACGATTTCGTCAAGCCTCGCCTGATGACGGTGCTGAAGGACATCCTTGCCTCCACCGGGGACAAGTGAGCACGAGGGGAAGTGAGCGTTAGGAGATGAGAGAATCAGGGAAAGTGAGTGAGCATGAGGGGAAGTGAGTGTCGCGATGACATGACAGTGTGGTGGCGGGTCACAGCCTTGGGGGCGGTCTTGCAGCGCGGATCCTTCTTGCCTCCCATTCAGTCCATCAGCACAGCCTATGTGTTTCCTCTTATAACCATGCCGTCACGCTCCCATGCTGCCCAACCCACTCTTGCCTTCAGGTTCCGCATCATGGTCACGGGTCACAGCCTTGGGGATGCTCTCGCCACCGTCCTCACATACGACCTGGCCCAGTCCGACCTGAAGCAGTAAGTGTGTGTGAATGAAGTGAGTGTGTGAGTGAGTGAATGAAGTGAGTGTGTGAGTGCGTGTGAATGAAGTGAGTGTGTGTGAATGAAGTGAGTGTGTGTGAATGAAGTGCGTGTGTGAGTGTGTGTGTGAATGAAGTGAGGGTGTGAGTGTGTGTGAATGAAGTGAGAGTGTGAGTGTGTGTGAATGAAGTGAGAGTGTGAGTGTGTGTGAATGAAGTGAGTGTGTGAGTGTGAGTGTGCTATGGAGCGCAGGAAGCACGTGCAGTTTGGTTCTGTCCTGGCCCAACTAACGACATGCCCGCTCCTCACCAACGACTTGTCCCAGTCTGGTCTTTAGAGGTGGATGTGACTGGTAACAGAGTGAGTGTGACTGGGAACAGAGTGAGTGTGGCTGGTAACATAGTGAGTGTGACTGCTAGCAGAGTGAGTGTTACTGTGCTAGCAAGTGAGTGTGTGCATGCTAGCGAGTGAGTGCGTGCATGCTAGCGAGTGAGTGCATGCATGCTAGCGAGTGAGTGTGTGCAAATGTGCTAGCGAGTGAGTGTGGGCGAATGTGCTAGCGAGTGAGTGTGTGCAAATGTGCTAGTGAGAGAGTGGTGCTGCATGTGAATCGACTCAAATGCACAAGGCAAGGAAGGGGAGTAAGTTGGTGAGTGAGTGGTTTTGGCCTTCCAGCTGTCTTCACTTGATGGGCGAGTGGTTCTCCCCTCTCCACTTAACACCTGGCCCAGTGGGACCTGATGCAGTGAGCGTGAGGGGAAATGGCCACTAATGGAGTGATCATGACCGTTATTGAAGGAGGGAGGTACGAGTAAATCGTTGGACCGTCTGATGTTTGACCTGCTCCTCACCTCCCTCTTCAGTCTTCTCTCCTTCCCTCTCTCCCTCCCACCTCCTGCTACTCCCCACAGCATTACATGTTTAGAATCTCCACGTGCAGCTATGGATCTCCTTTGATTGGTTGGTGCTCGACCAACCTCCCTATTCTCTCCTCTTGTCTCCTTTCCCTCTTTTCTCTTGTCCTTCATTTCCAACCCACAGGCAGTACGGCTTCAGTCTCAGTATGTACAACTTCGGATCCCCCCGCGTGGGCAATCACGCTTTTGCTTCTCGTTACAATGAGGTATCTTTCACGGGGCACGCTCATATTGACTATGCTCGGCTTCCGTCTCATCATGTATAACCACTTTGTAAGGAGCACATTGATTCACTGCCACATTGCTCTCAGGCATGCTCAATGACATACGTCCTTTTCAAGCGATGAATTCTCAATCCACTCCCCCGTTCTTCCGTACCCTTTGTCCTATCACTCCTCCCTTTTGAGTCGACTCAAAAGTCACCTGAAATTGCTCCCTCTGGCCCATTACTCCTCCCTCCGGCAACTAGTAGGAGACAGTTGCCGTTTTGCCAACGACCAGGGCATCCCACCCCCACCCCCCCCTCCCCCCCGGCATTTCTTCCCCCTCCTTCCCCTAACGCCCTTCTCTTCCCCCTTTCCCCTCCAGCTGGTGGGAGGCAGTTGCCGCATTGCCAACAACCAGAACGCCGTGATCTGTGTGCCGCCGTACGGCAGTCTGGTCTTCACGCATTCCCCCCTCCTCTGCTTGCAGCTAGTGGGCGGCAGTTGCTGCATCGCCAACGACTGAGAGATCCTTGATCACGAGACTCTGTTGGCTCCCCCTAACGCCCTCCACTTCCCCCTTTCCCCTCCACCTCGTGGGCCCACGGTGGCGCGTTGTCAACGACCAGGACCTAGTAACGCGTGCCATGTGTTTTCCATATGCACCGCTCCCCACCCCTCTCCCCCACTCCAGCTCGTGGGCGACAGCTGGCGCATAGCCAACGACGAGGGAATTGTGCCTCGCGTCCTGCGTATTCTCCATATGCACCGCTCCTCACATCTCTCGCCACCCCTCTCCCCACCCCTCTCCCCACCCCTCTCCTCACCTCGCCACCCCTCTCCCCCCCTTCAGCTCGTGGGTGACAGCTGGTGCATTGCCAATGACCAGGACATTGTGCCTTGCATCCCGTGTGTTCTCCATATGCACCGCTCCCCACCCCTCGCCGCCCCCCTCTCCCCTCCTCCAGCTCGTGGGTGATAGCTGGCGCATAGCCAATGACGAGGACATCGTGCCGCGTCTGCGGATCATTGATTACAGGCACGTGGCCACAGAGGTGGTGCTCAGCCCCGACTTGCAGGCACTGGATCAGGTGCGTGCGTAAGGGTGGGTGGGAGCGATTGGGTAATGCTCAGTGCATTGAGCAGCGTTGGTTGGGGGGGTGGGGTTGAGTGAGTGAGAGTAATGCTGAGCATCGCACATGAGTCAACATTGGGCATGCTACTTTTATACTGCACCCTGATTCATTCCCTCCCTCCCTTAATGAAGATTAAATGCTACTTTTATACTGTACGCGTTTTATACTGCACCCTGATTCATTCCCCTCCCTCCCTTTCCCCCATGGCCCCCTACTAAACTTTCCCTCCTTCTCAATCCCCACGCGCCCTCTCCCCTACCTCCCCACGACACGGCCCCCCACGTCTTCTGCAGAATGCTCTTCTTGCGCTCAGGGAAGCTTCCATCAAAACAATTTTCGGTCTGGTAATATATCTTTCCACCAAACGACATTTCCATCCCCCTTGCTGGGTTTCCCCCTTCAATATACGTCGTCTACTCACACACAAAGCCTTCGCCCCTCAGCATATCAAGTCCACAGTGCCTTCTTTCTAGTCATTCTTTTCTCACCTCTTACCTCCTCTTTTCTTCCCCTCTTTTGCCTCCCCCTTTCTCCCCCTCTTTCCTCCTCTTTTCTCCCCCTCTTTCCTCCTCTTTTCTCCCCCTCTTTCCTCCTCTTTCTCCCTCCTCTTTTCTCCTCCTCATCTCTCCCCCTCCCCTCCCCCTATTTGCAGCCCAAGTCCTCAATTGCAAAGACTGGCCCTCGCATGCACTACCAGCCCGCATACTTCCTCTCCCTGCTCAAGGTGTGTTGGTGGTGCTGGGTGCGTTGGCCTCAGCATGTTCTCGCTCCACGCTCAAGCATTGCTAGACTTTGATGGTGCCGGCCCCCACATGCCCAGCCAGCTGCACACTTCCTCTCGCTGCTCAAGGCGGGTTGGGGTGCATTGGTGTGTTGGTGGCGCTGGGTGCGTTGGTGTGGTGGGTTTGTGGTAGTGGAGTCCTCCATTTGGTGTAACACGTTTAACTAAAAGCGTTACTTACCTTCAGCGAGGGCACTGCCACCGTACAGTTATTCATGATCATTCGTAACTCTCTTGTTCATCATGCTGCCAGCACCATAGCCTCTCAATTCATTCTGACATGTCCCAAAAGAGATCTTCTGTTGTGCTGCCAACAAGGGCGCTCCAGCCTGAGCAAGAGAAATCAGTACGACAATCCAACCTAACTCATTCTCCCATCTTTGTCTCCTCCATTCCAATCCACCCCTCGGGATCATGTCCCTCTTCCTATCCTGTTTTTGTGCTGCCAGCAAGTGCGCTTCAGCCTGAATTAGGGACTATAACAACGTTGACAACCTCGAAGGGTTGTGCAAGTACTGGTGTTTAATAAAGAGTGGTGTACACTGGGCTGTATTGGTAAAGAGTGGTGTAACACTAGGTTGGATACGGTGCAAATGCAGAGATCTGTGTGTGGGGCCGTGCTGAGTGATGGGTGGTGCTTGCGCAGTGAATGAGCATGAATGCATGATGGGGTCTGGTGTGTAATCCGCATGATAACAATCGTGCGCGGTTGGTGGTTGGCCAGCCTGTTGTGTTTGCACGGTGAATAAGAATGCATGCATGGTAGTATGGCATGGTATGGTATGGTTCCGTATGGTACGGTATGGTGTACAACAGAATGTGCTGTTGGTATGGGGACTGGGGAGGCTGCTACCCAATCCCTCCAGCAGAGCCCTTGGCAAGCGGGCATCCCAGACGTAGTGCTGTGTACGGGAGCTTACTACGGTTCTAACCAGGGATGTCTCTGCTGCAGATCCCTTGGCACGAGTGCCAAAACTAGCAGCACATATGGAAATGGGAGCTCTAGCCTAAGTTTTTTTGGTAAATTTTCCTTATCTCTCTTGTTACTGAATGATATCTAAGTTATTGCTGCACACACGAGCTGTCTCAGCAGGCATTTCAAAGGATAGGATCCTTGAAGCAAACAAGCAATCAAAGTGTTGTACAGGATAGGTGTGGGTGTACGGTCAAAGTTAACGAATGAATGGAAAGGTGGGATACAAAGATATGTTTGACACACCTCCTAGACAAGATAGGGGCAGTGCCTGGTGAGAGACAAGCAACTCAGGGTGGCACTACTTGTCACGAGAGCTAGGTAGATAGGAAGCCATGAAAATGGCGAGAGGGTTTAGCTAGGAGAGAAAGTTACGAGAGAAAAGAGATCGAGAATAGAAAAGAGAGGGGTACAAGGAGGGGGTTGTACCCTCTATAGTAGGTTTCGATAATAGCTACCAAGCCTACAATTATATATAACAAACATATAATTTAATACACCCCCTAGGCTTGGTAGCGGCAAGCCCACCCAACAAGCAGCACCCCCACACCCTTGCATCCCCATGCCCTGCAGCAGGAGCGACGGTCATCAGCGCGGCCGACCTCTCCACGTGCGAGGCGGCGATGTCCGCATCAAGGGCTGTGGTGGCGACAGCGGCGGCGGCGGCAGTGACGACAGCAGCGGCGGTGACGGTGTGCGGTGGCAAAACGGGCCAGCGGCAACAGCGGCACTGACGGCGGCTTCGACAACAACGGCGGCGGTGGCGTAGCCCGCACCACTCGGCGGCGTGGCCGACCATCGAGACAGTGGGAGGATCCACCCACGAGTCGGCCGTCAGCTGCGGCGAGGACGAGGGAACGCAAGGAACGGGTTTCAGCAGCGGAGCCACAGAGCAAACCGCCCCATGTGGCACGCTGACTCAAAACCAGGGCGGCACTACTAGTCCAGCCACTGGGAAGAGGCCACAAGGCCAGTCACGGTAATATGTATAAAGGTCTGTACACAATCAACGTCCTAGCAAATGAGAGGCTAGAGGAACAAGACCAAGCTGTACAGAGTGTCGTTGATGATCTTTAGGCGCAAGCGCCTTCATAAAGATATCAGCTGTGTTGGCACTGGAGGCCAAGTGTACTACGCGGGCCTGGCGACGCTGCTGTAGCTCGCGTAGGAGGAAGTACCGCAGCTGGATGTGCTTCGCTCTGCCCTCGAGTCTGGGCTCCTGACACAGGAGGATCATGGCCCTATTGTCAGCGTACGGAGCTTACCTAAGTCTGTGAGAAAGAAAGTCAGCCAGCGGAGCTCCTATGCTGCCATGGCACCATCGTAGATCTCAGCATCTCAGCTAGACTGGGCAACAGACAACGAACGAGTGGACCGCCACGAGACAGCACCTGCACCAAGGCTAAAGCAGTAGCCCTGGGAGGACCGGAGAGTCTCTGCATCATCGGCCTAAGAAGCGTCTGTGTGCCCAGTAAGGACCACTGGTCTACGTCCTCCTAGCACTAGCCCCAAGCCTGATATACTTACTAGATAACGCAAAACCCTCTTAGCTGCTGACCAGTGCTGTGGTCGGTGTCTGCCAGTGGCCACAAAGCGAGCCAAGATGCTGAGAGGGTATGCGAGATCTGGACGAGTGCAAGTCATCAGGTACATGAGGCAACCCACCAGCTCTGCATAGGGGCCACTAGGCTCTAAAGCCTCCTCCGGGACTGGAGCAGAGAGTCTGTAGTCTACTGGTAGAGGGGTGGGCTGTGCGGAAGAGAACTGAAGGCCGAACCTCTGAAGGACCTGGCGCACCAAGTGTGACTGTGAGGGAGTGATGGTGCACGCTGCTCTGTCCTTGGAGATCTGCAAGCCAAGGTAGCGGCGCAGCTCTCCTAGGTCAGTACAGGTGTGTCTCCTCAGCAGCTCGGCCTTTACGGAGGCCTGCGTCTCTGTCTGCAGTAGCAAAGACTAGGTCGTCTACGTAGACAAGGATGTAGAATGGAGTCTGGCTGGAACGGACGAAGAGCGAGGGGTCTGCAAATGACGGGAAGAACTACAGGTCAGCAAGTGTAGCACGCAGCGTGTCGTGCCACTCATGGGGCGCCTGCCGCAAGCTATAGACGAGGCACCGGAGGAGCCACTTGGGATGTCAAGGGCGTCTGGGTCACCCTCAGGGACTAGTAGCATGGAATAGAGATGGGGAGTGGCCTCAGACGGGAAAGCGAGCTCGTACTGCCTGTCCTCTAGGACGTCACTGCCAAGAGCAGCCACACCCCCGACGGTTGGAGGGCAAGGAAGGTTAGAGACCAGAGCGGTGGCGTAGTCCAGGCGGCGGGTAGCGGCGAATTCAGTGACAGCAGCGACAAGAGCCGACCGACTCGAGACAGGAACTCACGGGTCGGTAACAAGAGAGGCAAGGATACGAGGAACAAGGGGATGCACTGCACAGAGGAAGTAAGAGAACGGAGGCGAGGCCACAACAAGCGATGACGGGGGAGGAGACGGGAGGAGAGGAGGAGCACGGGACGCGTGAGAGCAAAGCAACATAGGATGAGAACGAGGAATAGGGGAGGTGGGACAAGCACAAGACGGACGACGAGACCAGACGTGAGAGAGACGAGTCAGGTCAAGAGAGAGGGGGGGGGATACAGGAGGAGAACGGGGAGGAAAACAAGCTAGAGAGGAGTCCGGAGGAGGAAGCACCGGGCCGTAGACCGGCGGAGGAGGCGGCGGCGGCGACAGAGGAGGCACCGGCAGGCGGTCAGGGGAAGGAAGACCGAGGAGGCGAAGAGCGGACACCGGCGGCGACTGCTGCGGCTGCTGCTCGACTCCAACACCAGAACCTCCAGTGACAGCACGACTCCCTCCAAGAAGCTCCACGCCAGCACCCCCACAACGGGAACCCGCTCCAGCACGCTCCCCAGCACCCCCAGAACGCATGAACCCCTGCGGCGGTGACAACGGCAGCTGCGGCCGCGGCGACAATGGCAGCGGCGGAGGCAGCTGCGGTGGCGATGGGGAAGGAGAGACTGGGGTGGGGAGGGGCAGGGGAAGGGACTCCGTAGAGCCGTGAGAGTCAGCAGACTCCTCGGCAGGGACACCCGACAGGAGAGGGGTGACGTGAGACACACCAGACGGGGCAGGGAGGGGAGCGGGGGGAGCCGAGGCGACCGGGGGAGGGGGGAACCAGGAACAGGGGGGGGTAACAGGGGGACCACGGTGGGGAAAGTTGTGAGAGTACGACACTGTTACACCAATTTCTCCTTTCCATATTTCCTTTCTATTATATTCCTCTTTTTATCCTGATTCATTTGGTCTTTATCTCATCTCATTTGGTTTCCTATTCCTCTTTTTTCATTATCCTTTGGTTTATCCTATTATTATGATTATATCACCGACCAGGCTCAGGATGTACTGGCGCGCTATATCTAGCGTAATCTTGTCGTAATCCCTTAAAGCCAATAGCCTCGCATGGCTATACACATGGTGATTCTATTTCTAGAAGGGTCTATTCCCTTTGGATAGTATATACCTGGTTACCTAATGTACTCTGGAAGTGTAAAAGCACCTTGTACTCATGGATAGTGCAACATTGAGCAAACCTGATTCGATCTTGTAACACTTGGTAATCAGAGCCAAGGTTTTAGCTCAACGCTTAACTGCTGGGCCCCAGGAGAACGTCGAGGATGGAGTCGAAACTTCAATTCATGTAAGTACAATGCACTTTCATTTAAGTTTCGGCTAACCTCGTGCAGTTGCACCTGGGGTCCCCTTCGAAGGCGAGATGCCTTATTGACCGTTCAATGGACTGCATCGACGGAGCCGATTTTTTTCGCGGGGGTAAACAGCCTCGACCTCGCGAACGTGTCAGTTCTGGCGGAACACTCCCTGCAACATTCCGAGAAGTTAGCAGTTCGCCACGACTCTTGAAGTTGCGCCGAAATGTGCGGAGCTGCGACCAACGACATCTGTCCGATGGAGGTCCGACGCTTCAGATCGACCGAGGCGAAACGAAATCATAATGTGCTAGTTCGAGTTACAGCGCAAATGGGAACGGGACCTTGCAAGCCGTGAAATTCTTCGGAGCGTTCGATCGTTCGACAGCCGACATCGACGACCAAGAATTGCTGGAGGAAACGAGTCAACCCGGGCGCCGAAAGCTGCTGAACGCTACTCAGAATATCTTCAGATCGCTTGGACTTTGGACCGTCGGATCGACTTCTGCTTCAACGGACGAGATGGAGCGCGACTTCTGCACAAAGGAAGATTGACGCGCAGAACCAAAAATCAGCCGCCTTCGACATCGCTGACATCATCTGGACAACCAAATTCGACTTCCTTCATTTGGTTACAAATTTGGCACGCAAATCAGCTGTAGTGTCAGAAATCTGCCAAAGAATTACCTACTTGGTAATAGTTGCGAGCAGAAAAATGACAGGAGAACATGGATCATCAGATCGGTGCGGAATCAACGGCACAAATGCAGCGAAGATTACACTATGGACAAGCATCATCATGGAGACAACATTCGTGACCAGGGACTGCACAATCGACGCATATTCTGACTAGTGTCGATAACGATCGATTTATTTTGACGAGGTCATATTCGTTAAAAATGGATCGATATCAACACAGCGGATCTTCACCCCGGAATAACAATGGAGTTGCGTTAAAACATGTTCTCCATCCATGAGACACTTCTTCATGAATTTGATCGACAACCTATGGGATTGCAGAGAAGTAGCCGTTTTCTCTTGCAATATTCCCAACATCAAGTTGCTGCGTAGGAGCAGATTTCGCACGCAACGACGACCCAGTGAACCCGTCTCGTCAAGGCCAGCGAGGCACTACTTTGTAACAGGAGCTGACCGATTCTTCTTCATCAAGAATCTCAGCCATCCGAAGTGATTGATCGGAGCAGTCTCAACATCAACCTCACGAGGCGACACACCAATCATGCGTCGCGATTCCAGGTGTTAATGACCTGCATGGAAAATTTTCCGTGCATGTCATGATGCTTGACACATTGAGTAGTAATTAACCTC